TTGGCCCAAAATAGAAATTTTTTGTATCTTTGGTCCATTTTAAATATGGAAAGTATTTTTAACCCTTGAAATGGACTTGGAGCACCAGTAGTCCCCTGTTTTACAGAAAAGTACATATTCAATCCCTCTAATTTGAAAATCTCGCAATTTGGGCTTTATTGGGCCGAAAAGTTCACTTTTGGCCCATTAAGCTTAAAATTTCACATTTTAATCCTTCAAAAGGGTATATTTCCAGAAAATACATTGTTGAAACTGTTTTGACTCATTTCAACCATCAGAATTTGTATTTTGTCATTTTGGGCCCTTTAATTTTATATTTTTAACATTTTGAGTCCAAAAATGGGTTTTTAGCCCAAAGATGTGCATATTAACCAACTTGGTTACTTTTCTAGAAATGATTTGTATGTAATAATATAATTTATACTAGTTTCATACAACCTAATGTAATTCTCGATTTTAAGGACTTTTTGACTAGATCCAACACCACAATCACATAAGAACATATACGTACACATAGAAATCACACAAATCATACATATACTCATAGATCTACACATTTGCTTGTATTCCCCCCCCCCCCAAAAATTTATAAAACCGAAAAATAGGGGGTATGAAGCTCACCTTTGGGTGTGGTTTCGGCTTTTAGAAGAAGTGAGAAGAAAATTTGGCCTTAGTACCTCTCCTTGGAAGATCTCGAACTTAGGGAGTTTCTAGGAGAGTGATCAAGATTTTTACATGGATTAGAAGGAGATTTTTGATAAAACAAAGTACCTAAACCATAGATCCAAACTTGATCTTACCTTAGGTGAAGAATTTGTGGAGGTATCTTTTTGAAAGCTCCTTAGATCTCGAAATTTTGGAGGAGAAATGAGAGAGTTTCTTGATAGAAAAAAATGAGTGAAATGTGTGTGTGTGTGTGCTTGAAATCGGCTGAGAGCAAGAAAAAAGGGAAGAAGAGAGAGGTTTGACAAGATAGTTGCATGGAAGTATGTGTGTTGCATGGAAATCCTTGGTGCAAAAGTGAGGTGGCAACCCAATAAAGTCAACCCTTCTTTATTATGGGCTTGGGCCGAGTATGGAGAGGGGAAGGAGGAGATTTTTGGGCTTTTTGCCCCTAAGCCCATATTATAGTTAGGTTGAATGATTGTTGGCCCTATAAAAATATAAATGTGATTTTTATGCTTTAATAGGCTAGATTAGGTTAATTATGGTCCAAAATAGTTCATAATATTTGATTTATTTCATTCTAGGCCCAATATGGCCCAAAATGTTGAAATACATGGAAGTGGGTCCAATTAGAGCCCATTTAAGGGTTCTAAGCCCGAGATAGTCAAATTGGAAGCTTATTGGTCCATTAGGCCCAATAAGAAAGTCCTAGTCCAAAATGGACCTAAACAAGAACTTCTAGGGTTTCCAATTACTTGTTGACTATTTGTAATGCTTGTATGGTGTATTTGATTGAGATTTTGCTGTCATAAAGTAAGCATAATGCATGCTCTTAAGTTTTTGATTCAAAATTCTTACTTAAGTTTTGTAGTTACAAGGCACAAAATTTCTAGTTGTGACATCATCCCCGTGTTAGAGGGAATTTCGTCCGGAAATTCTGTTTGAAAGCTAGATTTGAGAATGCTAGAATAGGTGAGGGTACTTTTACTTCATTTGATCTTTGCGTTCCCACGTGAATTCTGGCCGACGCTTCGCGTTCCATCGGACTTTCACGATCGGGATTCGACTTTGCTTAGTACGCTTCACCTCCCTGTCCATGATTTCAACCGGTTCTTCAATGAACATGAGATTCTCGTTGATTTCGATCTCGTCAAGGGGAATGACGAGTGTTTCATCCGATAGACACTTCTTTAGATTAGAGACATGGAACACAGGGTGTACACTGTTTAGCTCTGCGGGTAGTTGCAGTTTATATGCCACCGGACCTATTCGGGCGACGATTTCGAAAGTTCCAATGTATCGTGGGTTCAGTTTTCCCCGTTTCCAGAAATGAATGACTCCTTTCCAAGGTGAGACTTTTAACAGTACGCGATCCCCAACCTGGATGTCTAAGGGCTTTCACCGTTTATCGGCGTAGCTCTTTTGTCAGTCGCGCGATGCTTGTAATCGAGCTCTGATTTGAACAATCTTTTCCGTTGTTTCACGAATGATCTCCGGTCCCGTTAGCACCTTGTCTGATGCGAGTGTTTTTGCTACCTGGGTGTCGCCCACCTCAGCCCAACATAACGGTGATCTACACTTACGTCCGCATAGTGCTTCGAAAGGAGCGACCTTGATGCTCGAGTGATAACTGTTGTTATACGAGAATTCGAATAAAGGTAAGTGGGTATCCCAAGACTTCCCAAAGTCTATCACACATGCGCGAAGGTAAGTGATAACTGTTGTTATACGAGTGACAACTGTTGTTATACGAGAATTCGACTAAAGGTAAGTGCGACCAAAAGCCCCGTTTAATGTCAGTATCGGGTAGAATTCCACCGTGTCCCGAACTTAGGACCTATTTAAGGCTCAAAAGACTTCATTTGAAGCCTTTCCTCTCTCTCACTACTCTCTCTCTAACCTCTCTCCTCAAATCAAATCTAAGGGTCCAAAAACAACAATTTAAGGCTTCAAATCATCAAGGTATCTTCCCCAACTACTAGTATATCATCCTTATACTTCAAATTCGTGATTTATCTATGATTTATGACCATGTTTATGTGTTTACGGCCATGGAGCATGCTTGGGCCGTAAACACACATAAAGGGGGTTTTCATGCCTTAAAACCATTCCAAAACACCATTGAGGCTTAGATATGAATTATAGAATTATGGATTTGGACTTGGAATACCTTGAACATCAATTTAGAGGAGTAAACATGAGTTTACTGCCCAAGAACATGCTTGGGCTGTAAACTCATTATCATGGAGAGTAAACTTCTTCTAAGGTGTTAAATTGCCATTTAAACATACCAATAGCCTTGGAATAAATTCTAGAATCAACCACAAACGTATTGGAAGCCTTAAACTCCATGAAAACACCTCCCTTAGGAGTTCACGGCCATAAACCCTCCCAAAAGGGGTTCCTGGGCCGTAAACTCCCAAATCATGGCCAAATGACACCTTCAATTCCATCCAAGGCTTGTGTAATAGCTTAAAATCACATGTGATTAATCAAGGACCATCAAGAAACATTTTTGGATATGTGTATAAGAGCTTACGGCCGTAAATATAGATTTTACTACCGTAAACTGTTCAAATGGTCCCTAATTTGTCCAAATCATTTTTCCATGCCTTGAAACTAACCCTAGAATTTTCCCTCAAGTGATATGAAACCATTTAGTAACCAAAAGCACCCCACCAATAGTTTACAGCCGTAAACTCATGGGGAATGTGTCATTAGGGCCAAAAACACTCCTAAGAGTTTATCTTGAAGAGTAAACTCCATATCCAAGCCTTATGTGCCCTCAAATGCCACTCGGGTCCTTCCAAACACTTGTAATGAAGTGTTTTCGCATCTAAAAGTGTTTGTCCCTAACAAATAAATAATTCAAGTCCTAATTAAATACAAATGTGTATCTTTTCATAATACATAGGAATCTTGGGGGTTGTAAACCCACAACTGACGTTTAGGATCAAAACCGACGCATTCCTCAACCGGTGAGTTCATACCCCTACCCTTTTTCAAATGTTTTCATGGGGGAATACAAGAAAAAGTACAAGGAAATCTTGTACTAAAACTTATTATTTTCAATTCAAATGTTTATATTTTGTACGTTTTTAATATCAAAAACTGTGTTAATCAAATAGTTCGAATTACGAAGTTAGCTTTCAGACTAATCATAGAATTCTTGATAAAGTGTTACAATCTAAATTATATTTCATAATCTACGAATAATTCATGCTAATCATCAATTAGAACTAATACGAATATGGATACGAAAGTACAACTAGGAACAGAACGAATACGAAAGTATAACTAGGAATACGAATACGAATGCGAATACGAATGCGAATACGAATATGAATATGAATACTAATAGGATTAGGAATAGGACTAGGAATACAAATACAAATACGAATACGAATATGAATGCGAATACGAATGCGAATATGAATACGAATACGAATACTAATAGGATTAGGAATAGGACTAGGAATACGAATTCGAATATGAATACGAATACGAATGCGAATACGAATACGAATACTAATAGGATTAGGAATAGGACTAGGAATACGAATACGGATGCGAATACGAATGCGAATACGAATATGAATAGGATTAGGAATAGGACTATAAATACGAATACGAATGCGAATAGGAACGCGAATGCGAATACGAATACGAATAGGATTAGGAATAGGACTAGGAACACGAATGCGAATTCGAATACGAATGCGAATACGAATACAAATAGGACTACAAATATAAATACGAATACAAATATAAAATACGAATATGAATATGATTAAGAATAAGAATACGAATATGAAGGCACACATCTAGGTATATTCAAGTGTAACACAATTAGGATATCAAAATACCTAGCTAATATAACAAGTATGAAAGGAAATCAAACATTACATTGGGATTCAATAACTAAACTTACTTTTAGGAAAATATAGGATTTTCCTGGGAAAACAATTGTACATAACCAGAATTGTGTAATAAATCAGTTAATCAAACTTCACATATAAGAAAATATAGGATTTTCTTGGATAACAATCTTTTCGGAAAACCAAAGGAAACTTGTACATTTTCAGAAAACAAACATCTTATGAACTCACCAGCTTTATGCTGATTTTCGAACTGCTTTTATTCTCAGGTCCATTTTAAACAAGTACCCAGTGATCCTTTTTGGAGAAGACGGAGCGTACAGAAGACTCGTCTCTACTTTTGTCCATATATACATATGTATAACACTTGTAACACTTTACTTTTGAACTAATGTAAATTCTAATATGTAATGTAATGGTTGTTTACTTGCTTACTATGTACATTGGATTTGATACTCAACGTGGAGTCCACCCCGGAACGTTTCCGCGTCTGATTTCGGGGTGTGACAGTTCTGTATTCACAACAGTCTTCTTCTTCAAATCAGCAGCAACTTCTACATCCATCTTTGCCACTTCGTGAATGTAGCAAATCAACATTCTTTTCAAGTGAGCAATCATTGGTTCGTACTTCTGTTCATACTTAGATAAAATCAGAAATAGAGAAATCCAGTCATTCGGATTCATACATGGAAGATACGCAAGAGTGAACTCAACTTCGGTACGACTTAATCCTTTGAAACCTTTAAGACTGACATTTGTGAAGTTTTCAGCCAGAAAAACTGCATAAACTTTGACTGCAACCAACTTCTGCAAGCTCCAAATTTGCAGTTGAGGCTTTCCGTACTTGATGTAGAACAAGAAGAGCATGTGATTAATATCATTATCTGAGAGTGGTGCTCTCTTAATATGCTCAAAGCGTCTGAATAAGAATGCTCTCGGAGTGACAGGAAAGTCAACCTGAGACTCAGCTGAATTCACCAGATCAAAAGAAACAAATGGCTCTAACCAATGAAAACTTGGATTGTTGATAGCCTCATTCTAAATCCTTTCCATGGTCCATGGAGGAAAAAAGGAATCTGGAGTTTTCAAAGTAACTTTCGCAGCCATATCTTCCCTTTATTGAGCTTCGAGATCTTTATGAACACGCTCAAATTCATCGAGCTATTTATCCATCTATTTAATGACAAGCTTCTCTCCTTCAGATAAGAACTCTTCTTCCTCATCATCATCAATCATTTTTCCTTTGCCTTTTGACCTAGAAGCTTCAGTACCCTTCTAGAAAACTTTTAGTTTTTCTTCATGATGCTTATTGGATTTTGGCTTAGACTAGGGTTGGGGTTCTTCGTTACAAGTTTCTTTGGTAACATGATCTGCCCTTGTTTCAGAAGACCACTGCTTCCCGAAACACCCTCTAGCTAGTTAAGCAGTGTGAAGACCGGCTTAAGTTTATCAGAGAGGTGTTGACTAACACAGATAGGGAGCCTTGAATCACATGTTTCGACAAGATTGTGCAAGTATTGATTGATGTCGGAAATACAACTTCGATATAAAGTCTTCTCGGATTTAAGGTGATCTAGATGCCTTGTTGTGTAATTCAACTTAACAGAGAGAACCTTAGCTTTTTTAGTTCTCTGAGCCAATTTTTCCATTATCACATTTTCAGCCGCAAGATCTATCTGTAGCTTCTGAATCTTGGATACAGTTGAAGCGCTTATTTCGACATTATTAACCTTGAGGGTAGAACAAACCTTAGAAAGTGCTACTTTTTCAACTTGAAGGGTTGTTACGAGACTTGTGATAACTTTGTTTGCTGCAGCTATGTTTTGATTCGAAGTGGTTCAAAATTCTACCATAAACTGTAAAATGTTGGCAAGTAGTTTTTCTACTTTTTTCGGTCTTTTCCCAAACGGTTTTCTCGGAATTTTCAATAGCTTTTGTTGAGTCAACAAGGTTTTTGGCATGCTCCTTTGTTAACATCTCAATTACAGAGTTATCAGACATAAACAAATACTCATAATATGAGGAAGATTTTGAAGACTCTATTAGAGAATCTGATTTTTTATTGAGGGATTTGAACTGCCCTTTCTTCATTGGAAAATTGTCACCATCACCTTTCTGATGAACTGTGAAAGGAGTAAAAACGAATTATTGAAAATTATCATGTTTATCCCTAAAGACGATGTTGGGATCATCTTCTCTCAAAGGTGAAGTAGTAAAGGTGCTTGGACTGACAATGACACCAAAATCATATTCCCTAGTATCAAATACATTGAGAGTCAACATCAGAGTATTGATGGTGGTTATGGTTGTTGTGGAATCAGTATATAATGGAGTAGAGAGGGGAAAAAAACTTGAGTTTAAGAAACACCAATAGAAACATTTGGAAATGGAGCAATAATGATAGGTGTAGTGGTTGTAAGTGGAGAAGAAATGGTGGTCATAGAAAGTGGAGGAGATGATGTATTAACGAAATCATTTGTTAAAGGAACGGAAGTGGAAATCGGAGATGATACCTTCGGAATAGATTCTGTTGGAGTAGGTTCTGAGACCCATGGCTTTGAAGTCATAGCAGTATCCTTGACTTCATTTTGAATTTGTTCACACCTCCGAACATCTGAAACAATATGGGATTCTGAATCTTCCTCGTCGACTATAGAAGGAGACGTTGGTTTTCGAGCAGCCTTCTTAATTTTCTTTTTCGAAGTTTTGACAAGTTAGGAAGGACCTATCTTTCCCTTTCGTTTTCCCTACATTTGGGTTTGTTCGCCTCATCAATAGCCTTTAGCAGATCTCCTAGCATAGTATGAACACCAGATGCAGGCTTTTTCGGTATTCATTCACAACATGATTACTAGCAAGAACATTCAATAACATGGATTCTGGAATTAAACCAATGAATTTAATCTTGGTTGGATTAGACACCTTAATGTTGGAAGTGTGCAAGATGGGAATCACAGCCAGTACAGAGTCATTCATCACTTGAATCTGAAGACCAGAGATGACACACTTTACGATGATAGACCAAAATCAAGCACATGAAATTTCTGAATGCCTGGAGGTAGAGAGTGTGCTCTGAATAAGCTGTACCTACAGAATGGAACCATATTCTAGGTTAACTCCATAAAAGAGACCGTAGATAATTGTGCATAACAACTTGCTAGAACTATCAGAACCAATAACCCACTTAGAGAAGATTTTGAACATGAGAGTAAAGAGTCCATTCCAGACAGGAGGAAGGTTGGGCTTCTTGAATTTCGACAACAGTGAGACATTCCCAATATATCCCATTTAATAGAACATCTTAATGATTTCAGATAAAGAGATTGATTCAGGATCGATAAGACCATCAGTAGAAGTATACCTTTACATTCTAATAAACCGTGCTTTAGTGATGGAGGTTTTGATGGAATCGACCTCAAAAGTAATCAAGCCTTCATTCTAATTGTAGTTTTCAAATGAGTATGCCTTAGATAGATAAATCAATGGTACTGATTCATGCATTGTTAGGGTTTGAGCCAATAGAGAGTAATGGAAGCATTCAATCAACGGCTTGAGTACGTCATAGTAAAGGGATGAATCCAGATCCAAAGAAATATTATGTTTGGGCTTGATGTTCAGCAAGACAGTAGATGCGGTTTGACCAACAAAAGAGGTGGTTTCAGATGAGGCCGTCATGGAAGTAGCTTGAAGACGATGATGAACAATGCAGAGAAAAGAGGGTTTTACACGTTGAGAGTTTTTGAATTCTTGATAATGGTGAGAGTAAATCAACTGTCGACTTGCCTTTTATACAAAATGAATGGAGAGAGACAGTTGCCTATGGACGTTTCAATATCCCATCAAAGTTGCCTTTTGACAGTGTGATAGCTGTCCGTGTCAGTCGACGTGTAACTAACATGCGTGCCGTCATGAGTTTTGAAAAGTGAACGTGCCTTTTTGAAATCTTATCCACGAGAAACCGCCTTTTCAGTTATGGCCTTTCGGAATTAATCACCATTCACCGTAACTTGTTCTTGGAATAATCACTAACCAATCGGAATCATAAAAAGACTTAGAAAAAGTATAAAGATTTTTGTGCAAGAGTATGCCAAAGAAAAAGAAATAAAGCAAAGTATATTTGTGGGATTGTTGTGATGGCAATTAAAAATTGACATAAAAGCAACTTGATCCTGGGAAACGATCTCTTCCTTCAGAATCAAGAGAGATTTAGAAGTTCTTGTGTGGCATCCTGTTAAATTATGATCATCTACTTAACGAGAAATACCGAAATGCTTCTTTTAATAGGCTTATAAGGGTGGTTAAAGCTCTAATCGAATTTCGAACTTAACATAAGTTCAAAAATACGAATGAAGTACTTGGTTGACTAGTGTAGCCATAAAAACAAATAAGCTTTGGATATGTTTTGAGTAACAAGATAAATTTTGATAATATCAAAAAAAAATTAAAATTGGATCTTTTGGTAAGAAATGTCTTGGGTTGAGAGCATTTCATAAAGACCACTCAAATAAAAGATTTGATGCTTTTGAAGGTACTAACCAAAATGTTATATATGTTTATTCCTTGGTGAAAAATGTAGAACATATTAATTGCTCACCATCAATTCAAAAATTAGTTTCAGATAGAGGGTTTCACTTAAATAGTGGAGACAACAATTACAAATCATGAACATAAATGTTGTGTAACCATAAACATCAGTGGTAATTTTTTAGAGTCTCAAGGTTAAAATTATGAAAGTAATGTGGATGGAGAAATAGTAAGATGGTTCCGAAGAAGGTGTAACTCTGCTATAAATGAATGACTAAGCAGTCAACTCTTAACTCATTGTGAGAAGAGTAAGGTAGCTCAATGACTTATGTGAATTTCAGCCCGATTGGGTAGAAACAATCAGAGTGAAAGTTCCATTAAGACTTCAAACATAGTCTCAGAGGCTTGGGTCAACATGCATCAGCATGCTCCTAGGGACACTTACCTAGTATATGGATTTAGAATTTCATACTTGTCCCATTGTTCTAAATTGTGGAAAATACAAGGTGTACCAGAAATAATAACGCATTCTGAAAATACTACTTACCCAAAAAAAATTGTAGCTTTTGAAATTTTCTAAAAAAGAAATAAAAATAGAAATAACGAAAAATATTTTTATGATTTTTGGATTTTTTTGAGAAAGAAATAAAAACATAATTTTTTTGAATTTTCTTTTTTTTTTGGAAAAAGAAAAAGAAAAAAAATTAAGAAAAAAAAAGTGCAAAAATAAATAAAAAAAGTAATGAACCTTGACTTCCGAAGCATTTCGAGACTCGGAATCAATCGGAAACAGGTAATATACAAAGTATACAAAGGTGTTCTGAAACCCAGATAAACAGTATGCTTCGAATGGTTGCGAACACTCGGATCGTGAATAGTATCTTCCGAATTATTGTGAACGCTCAGAGGTGAACAGTAACTTTCGATTATGAATGGGATTTCTGAACTGATTCAACTTCAATCATTCTGAGACCTTGCAAAATGTGATTGAATGTTGCTTTAGGTAAGGCCTTCATGAAGATATAAACCAATTGATCAGAAGGTTAAACAAAATGCACTTCAATGTTTCCATTTTCAACGTGATCCCTAATGAAGTGATATCTCAGTGCAATGTGTTTAGTTTTTGAGTGTTGCACTGGATTATGGAAAATTCGAATTGCGCTTTCGGAATTGTAGTATAATGGAATAATGTTCATATTTATTTCATAATCTCTGAGCTAACTTTGAGTCCATACTATTTGAGGAGTATGTGATGCAGCTTCAGTAGTAGATAAGGAGACACATGTTTTTTCTTGGATTTCCAACTAACTAGTTTTCCATCTAGAAATTGAAATCCTTTGGTT